ATATATATATATATATATATACGATAAGGAGTGTACAAGGTGAGAGTTAGTTAATGTCAGAAGATTACAGTGTCGGCAAGAGCCGTTGGTCTCAGGGCGATGATGGCGATGAGTCACTGGAAATCCGCATTCCCATCGTGTTGCCGCAGTCCGCGCGGGCGAAGGAGTTGACGGTGGAAGTGAAGGACCTCGCTATTTTATGTGTGCGCCATCGTGAGACGGTCATTCTGCAATGGCGCCTGTACGAGCCTGTGGCGAGGGAGGTGGAGTGGCGGGTGGAGGACGAGGGATCGCTGCTCGTGTTGGACTTGGCGAAGAAGAGCCCGAGTGTGTGGCCGTGTTTGTTGGATTTGCCCATGCAGCAGAATGATGAACTGTTCCTCTCACACGCCGAGCTGGATGTGCTCTTCCGTGAGCATCTCCCTTCTATGCCAGAATCTACCAAGGAGGATCAGAGTAATACTAATGATGCTAATACGCAGCAGACAAAAGAAGGTGCGGATCTTGATAATGAAGAAGATCTGGATAAGTTATTGGAAGAGGCAGCTGAAGAAGTGGTTGGAACTCCATCAAAGAGGAATGATAATGAATTTATTCAAGCAGAGTTGGAAAACTACAAGGCAGAAGAGACAGAAATTCAGAAAAAATTACTTGAGACACAGACTGCATTGGAATCTAATGTTGATGGAGAAGGAGCAAAGGAGGCTCAAAAACAGAAGGAAATTCTAGAAGAAATATTACGATTACATAACCTTATTCGTGAAAAACGTACACTTCCTTCTACTCTTGATGGTTTTCTTGAAATTACTCAGTTGGAAATTCGTAAAGCTCGTGCTTGTGTAAGTGAATTGGAAGATGAGAAGGAGACCTTTGCTTCTGAGGAGGAACGTGCTATGGAAGCACATGAACTTATGGCAAAAGGATTAAAACATTTTGGAGAACAAGATATTCAATCTGCATTACATTTTCTTCGTCTTGCAGCTATTCACCACAATCATGAACAAAGTACTCTTATTCTTTATAACATTTACACTGAACTTGGTTCACCACGAGGAGCTTTTTTGCTTCTGAAACTTGCTCTTAAAGGGGATAGTATCAGTGCCGCTGCTAATTTAAAGGTTGGTGAACAATTTGATACTGGTGCTCGTCATTTTCTTCCTTTATTTCCAGCAGCAATGTACTTTTATCAACGAGCTGCACAAGCTGGAAATGTTCATGCCATGTTAGCCATAGCGCAACTTTACCTTCGTGGTTCTACCTCTTCAACTATGTTAACTACTGAACAGATGGAAGGATTAAAAAGTGTTGAAAAGTATCATTCTTGGATTGAACGAGCTATTGATCGAGGATGTGGATCTGCTTACTTTGTAAAGGGTTGTATGTATCTTGAGGGTGAACATGGTTGCCGCAAGTCGTATCAAATCGCAAAGGATTACTTGGAAAAGGCTACATCATCGCAACCAGGAATTAAAAGACGTGCCGCACATGTATATGTACTACTAGAGAGACTGCGACAAGAGGAAGAAGGGGTATCAGAGCCAAAGATTGTCGCTTCACCCTTAACCCTTGCAAAAGCTAAACAAGCCAATACTTATAACGATAATGTTGATACCAAGGATGATGATGGAAATGGTGCCGTACAGGTAAGTGCTTCAATGGATCGATTAAGTAAGATAAGTAGCAAGGGTGTTGCTCCTGATGCTGGTGTTATGCGTTCTAAAAAGATGGCGAATCACTCTTCCAATACCAGAGTATTCTGGGAGAAGGCAGTCACTACTGGCGTGTCTCTTTACAGTCTTTACACCATTACTTTTCCCCTACGCGTTATGCTTCTTCCATACTTCTACACTTTTATTGGACCTATTGTGGAGCGCATTCCTTGGCTGAGTGCCGCTCCTCCACCCATGCAGTTTTAAGAGACACACTGAGATATACATTTGAATCTCTTTTTTGGTGTGTGAGTGTGGCCTTCTTTTTTTTTTTTTATTTATTAAAAAAAAAAAATAAATTATTATTTTTCTTTCTCCTATTCCTTGCTGTTATAAGAGGTTTAGCGATGATAAATAATGAATGATGATGATTCTTGTTGTAGTGGTGCAGGTGATGCTCATGAGGATAACGATGATCTTTTTTTATTATTTATTTATTTTGGGTTTGCTTCAATTTCCTCATGGGGTTTGGATGGTGGAAACGAGGAGGAAGTAAAGTAAAGATCCGAAATATCAACAAGAATAACAAAGAAAAATAAAAGAAAGTGCCATACAACAACAAAAAAAAACAAGTGACTGTGCCTGAAGTGTGAGGGAAGCAAAAGTAAAACAAAAAGAAAAGGAAAGAATGATGAGACAGAAAACAAAAAAAAAGAAAGAGGAAATAAAGAAATTGACATTGGTTTGTCATTATTAATACTCACAAAAAGAAAAAAAAAAGAAAAAGAAAATAAAAGAAAAAAAAAAAAACGAAGAAGCGAACAAAAAGTGTGTTTAAACGCTTGTAATGCTCTGTTATTGGAACGGAGAAGAAGAAAGCTAGAAAGAGAAAGTGAAAAATGGTGTTAGTCTGTGTTTATGCATCTCTCTCTCTCTCTTTCTGTGTGTGTATGTCTGTGATGAAGTGGGATATAGTGCAGGAAGGTGCGAATTTGATTCTGGATATTCGAAGGAAAAAAAGAGAAGAAGTATTTAAAAAAAAAAAAAACAGTAGATTGTGGAGTGCAGCTTTTCTAATATCCTAACATCGGTTTCTGCAGCTTCTTCCTTCTCTTCCTTTTTTCATGCATGAATTCGTGCATGAGTGTCGAGTGAATCCAGTTCGGATCTTGTTAAGTGAAAATTAAAAAAAAAAAAAAAGAATGTATGACAAGCCGTTTCAAAAGTAATTTCTCTTTTTAATACAAGAAAATCATTATTTTTTTTTTTTTATTCTTTTTTTTTTTTTGCTTTTCTCTTTTTTCTTTGGTACGATTAAGAGAAGGTTTTCGTTAAGAGTAAAGGATACCGTATCAGCATGCGTCGTTTATACCTAGAGGTTGGTGCCTCCGTGCAAGCTGCATTGCTTTTTCGTGGGCATCGCTGGTGCTCAAAAACAAAAACAACAACGACAACAACATCATCATCATTAGGAGTAAATGCAGAAGAAAATGATAGAAGTGAGAAGACAACTGGTACTGGTACTGGTACTGCCTCATCAACAAAGTCATCTACTACTGATGTTTATACTGTAATGGAAAAGGCTTCAGCAGCTCGTGGGGAAATACATGAGTTGTGGTTGTCAACTGAAGCTACATCCGATATTGAGCAGCGTGCGCAGCGTGTGGCTGAATTAATTGAAAAGTACAAATTAGATCCATCCACACCTCGTGAAGAAGATGTGAGCCGAGGACTAGGTGATGCATTTGATCGACTATTGTTATTATGTGTTCCATTAGGCAAAGATTCTGCAAAGAGCACTGAACATTTGGAACGTCTTATGCATCTTGCTGGACGTAATGGTAGGGAATTATCAGTGCGCACCATTCAACATCTTTTCGCTCGAACAGATTCATTCACAGAAGCTCTTGCTGTTTTTTATGCGATGCGACGATGCCATGTAGCGATGAACATGGAAGCCTATTACGCCATGCTCTATTCTCTACAGAGACTTGAGGAAGAGGGATGGGCACAACGTTTTAGTGAGGAGTATAAGGAAGAGGGAAAACTATCTGAACAGGCGATGGATTTTGTGGTGAAGGGCATTAACAACGCTCTATTACCGGAGAATAAACCTTGGCTTGGTCGAGTCATGTTTGGCGACAGAGATGTACCGGCGCAGCGGCGTGATGGACGAGACTTTGATGAATTAAGTGCCACATGGACACAACGATATAAAGAGGGTTCTTCTATCCCTTCACCCTAACCAGTGGGAATAGGAAGAAGAAGAAGAAGAAGGGAGAAGGGAGAAGGGAGAAGG